TATATATATATATATGTGTGAATGTATAGCAATAGGTATAAAGCACACAGGTATGTGCGTACATATCTAGATATAGTATGTATATCGTAATTATTGAAGACTTCGAGATAGCAAGATGTGTTTATGGGTGGGGAAACTTTCAACATAGACCAAAAGTGAGTTCAGAACCCGTCCATCTGCTATCTGCTGGGTCTTGCCATGCAGGATACTCCAGTATCAATACCTTTGCAGCTTCAACTCTCTTGAACCCAAGAGCAAGGAATGCAACTCTGAAACATCAAACATCTTCAAAGACAACTCGCTGCGCCTCCACAAAAAAGCTCCGACCACGGCGAAGACAACGAAAGTCTGCAGAAAGGCCCGGGCCAGCCAGCACGTCGTGCACGGGCTCGAAGCCGCAGCGCTGCAAGGACTCGCCAACCACGGTCTCCAACTTCGAGCGCCGTCGAACTCTTCCAGACTTCACCTCCAAATGCCTCTCCAACTCGCTGGTCAGGAAGGCCTCACTCAGAGGCATGGACGTGCAAATGGCGCCGGCCTCGCTGAGCAAGCGCACTGCCTGAAGACCGTATAGCGCCACGGCTTTGCTGGACTTCATCTGGCTTGCTGGCCGTCGCAGGACTTCCCGAAGTACATCCGCCAACAAGGGATCAGGGTTCTTGAAGACCACCAACGCCCCGGCCATTTGATGTAACCGGCTGTCTTCCTCCTGCCCCCAACCTCCCAAAGGCTTGTACGCAGCTATCGGCGTCTCATGTTCTGCTAGGGAGTGGTTGACGCTGTTGCAAGCCAGGAGCCACTGCCTCAGAGCTGCTGCGGGCAGCTCTCCTGTGATCTTTGCCGCGAGATGTGCAGAGCCCATGGCGAAGGTATCCTGCCCAAAATGCCCCAGGCCGATATCGGCCGGTTACTGCCAGCGTCAATGTCATTGTGTATGTCTGTGTGTGTGTGTGCATGTGTGTGCGTGGGTGGGTGCTGGCAAACGTCCACACTCCCCTTACAGATCCAGTTGTTGAGAAACAAGTTTGAAAACCTGTTTCACGTGTCGAAACTGCCAACATACGTACCGTCACCCACCCCGTACCACACGGGGCACACAAATCTATGAATGTGTGTGTGTGTATGAACACACTACCGGGTGACCCTGATCATCGCCCTGTTTGAAATCTTTTGTTTTTGACCCCAACCACTCTGTTGTGACCAATCGTGACAGTAATGAGCTTCCAGAGCGGACGAACTACTGCCGCTCAGGCGCGGGGCGATCTACGTCTTTACAAACCACGGTCAACTAATCGACCAAGCTTTCAACAGGGCCGAAGAAAAAGCGTGGCCCCACGTACGTACATACATATATACATAC